GCCGTCTCCCGCGATTGGTCACCGTTTCAAGGCCTATGGGGCGCCATGGAGGGGACGGTTTGGACAACTCTACGTCGCCACCATACCTCAGTCCCTCCACCCCTCCCCGAATCGCACGTCGCTTCGTTTCTTCCCCGTCAGTCCGCCGGATTTCACGGGCTCTATCCGGGATTCCCGCTGCGTTTTAGTCTCGTTTCGAGGCTGTTCAGAAACAGCTGTCCAGATGGCGCGGCGATCTAAGCGAGCGGTCCATACGACTCGTTGAGATTCGAATATCGATCTTCGAAATTATTCTCTCTCTCTCTCTTTTTCTCTCTCTTTATTTCTTTCTTTCGTCGCTCTAGTTTCGGCGACGTAGAATGGGAGATCGTAATTTTTAATATCGTAATTCTTTTTTTTAGAAAAAATTATTTTTGGAACAAGTGGTTGTGGTTTGTGATGTGGTGGATGTTTTAAGATAATCGGTGTTATTTTTTTTTAACTAACGATGGATTTTTAAGAAGCTGAGGGGAAAGGTAATTTATAGATAGGAATTTTCTCTTTTTTAGTTGCGAATTTTTGATCAGTTTTTTAAACAAGAAGGATTACAAAAAAGGGAACGCGATCGACAACTTTAACTTTCGCTGTCGGTTACTCGATAAAAAGAAAAAAAGGAAAGAAAGGGAAAACGTCGACGAGCATCCTATCAATTTACAATTGCATTGTTCCGAGTTGTGTCTCCGGGACGCAACTTCTGCGTTGTCGTAACACTCTTCTTTCTCGATTGCTCAATTTCCACGTGACTCCGTTGCGTCGAGCCAACCGCTGTCCTTGTCGAACAAGCACCTCAGCTTTCTTCTTCTCCCGCTTCGAAACGTTAATCAAACCATTTACAACGATCGTTATCCTTTTCGTTTATCGTCGAGAATAATTTTTAAGAAAAGCTTTGCTTAAAAAAATACTTACTTAAAAAATATATATATACACACACACTTCTGCATATATATTAATATTTAATCGAAGATAAAAGAAATTCCAATTCATCAATTTCAAAGGATGCAATCTCCTTCTCGTTCCAGATACCTCAAGACAGCAACGGGCGACGAAGCGACACGATCAGCATGCACCTGGGACCGCGGTTCGAGGCGCACTTCAAGATGCGGTAGAGGAAGTCCCTCGACCCGAGCTCGCCCGAATCCAGAGTTCCGCTGAGAGCGGTGCAGCAACGGAGAGGTGTCCCGCCCCGGTGACACGTACGAAGCATAATAATCGCATGCATAATAACAACAACAACAACAGCAGCAGCAACAACAACAACAACAACTACAACAATCGACGGAGCCTACGATCGGATCCCACGCGAAAGAAAGGAGAGAAGGGAGTCCGGCAAGGGATTCCAGCGCTTGGACGCGCTCCCTGAACGCACCCGCCCACCCACGCGCGGCCAACCAACGCTCGGTTACTCGACCGAACGA